ACACTTCATTGCTTGTTCGTGAATTTTTGGCCAAAAACAATACTGTAACGATGTCCCAGCCTCCATATTCGCCAGACATGGCTCCGTGTGACTTTTCCTATTTCCAAAAATAAAGAGAACCTTAAAGGGCCGTCGTTTTACAAGCATAGATGACATTAAAAGCGCATCATTGAAAGAGTTAAAGGCTATCCCAAAGATCGAGTTTGAGAAGTGTTTCGAGGATTGGAAGAAGCGCTAGCACAAGTGCATAATATCTAATGGGGACTATTTTGAAGGCGATAACATTAATGTAGACGAATAAATAAATATTTTTTTCAAAAAACGAAAATTCCCGTTATTTTCTGAACACACCTCGTATGTGAACGTCGTTTCAACTCATACGCGAAATTCCGCTCTTGATGGTCTTATACGCGCGCGACAACTTCGACAGCGCCCGGCTTCGTGTAGCCGATCAAATATTTCGCGGTTGTAGTTCGCGGAATTTCCGGCCCAACANTACGATAATACTACGTCGTAATTAAACCCCCCCCCCCCCCACGCTTTCTGTCTCTTTCTAGTGCTCGAGAGAGAAAGGGAAATTTCGCCGCCCCAAGTTCGCGCCTTGGCACTTATTGAGGTAAACTCGTAAGACGTATGCGCGTCTATTCAATAGTCGTCATTCGAAATGAATGAAAATGTAGCAAAATGAATTTATACCTATTTTACGTGACTGAATTTACACCTATTTCACGCGACCTCACAAAATTTTTTCTAGAATTTTTTCGTTATTAAGGGAATACCGTACTTAAAAACTTTTGCTGACAGCATACTGAAATTTTCCTGCATAGTTTACGTTTTATTATTAGTTGCACTGAATTATGAGTGCTTTTATATCGCGAAAGTACGCGTGATGATAAATTGGAGCGTTGCTCGGTATGTGGTGACAATGATTAAAAATTTCAAAGTGATTGACAAGCCGAATGTGTTTTCAATATTAATATTTAACATTAAATTTGTGTACTTTTTGATATATCCCCCATGTTAAAGTAACACAATTTCAGTGGAGCGTTTTTAACACAAAATTTCTCATTGTGTAAGTTCTGAGTGCTTTGATTAGAAAAATTCCAAAGAATATTCTTATACCTTTCCAACGAAATTTAAAGACCTAAAGCGATACGAAAAGTTGCGACTGTCACATGCGATGATTTCGCGTAAAAATGTGCGATACGAAAAAATTGATCGCGGCAAGATATGAGCCGGGGAACGAGATGCAATTTTTACGAGTACTTACAAAAGAAGTTCTTTACTGTTGAGAAGTTCCCTACGGTGAGCCACGTCTGTGTGGAATCATGTGCAACATTTAACACGCGCGCGCGCGCGCCCGATAAGTATTACGCATTTTGAACGATGTGAGAACGTTAATTCGGGGCTTAGACGAGTAACTTGGTTGAAACTGTTATGAAGTCGGTTAAATATTCCATGCGTACTCTGTCCGTATTGTTACCGATAATTTTCAATTCAGTGTAACATATGCATATACAAGCGGGATATTTTCGTTTAAACATTTGCCGCTGTGCACAAAGAAGATAAATATCACACACCGAATGGAATAATGTGTGACGTTCTCCGCGCGTACATTCAACTGCAAAAGAAGAGAGATTTCAATGGCGATTCTTCTAATTTCCGGCAAAAACGCGCCGCCGGTTGAAAAAATTCACGAGGAAATTCGTCGCGGGGATATCAAAGCAATTCTCTCTTCGGCGCGCTTATTTTTTTAAAAAAGCAGCGAATTGTAAATATTATAAATATCCCTCAGCTCTACTGTTTCTTATCGTCGGCGCCGTGTTTAATTTCATTCTCACAGACAGCCTCACTTATCGGCAATTAAAGCATTTCGCAATTTCATTTGCCACGGATGTACCGAGGACCGCACGTCCGTTACGTTAGAAGTAATTTCCTCTGGTAAAAAGGTACACGAAGATGTTCAATCGGAAACCGTCGCTTCGTTCGAGCGACTGTTTTTCGAATAAAGTTCCTCGCTTTTGAGAACGGAGATAAGTGTCAGTAAAAATGGTTCATCGTAATTGCGAAACGTTGTCGAAGGGGTTTTTTTTTTATAGCGTTTCCGCAAAGACGAGTCAGCTGTTATTAAAGTTCTCGGTTGCACGAGTAGAAGTAATAAGAGAAAAGACAGAAATATCACGTCGGATATCGCGGTATGAGCAAATTATTTTGAGAACACCGCGCGCACACACCAGAGGGCTTGCAACCCCGGCGTGTTAAATCTCTCTCGGGGAACGTTCTTTTCTTCTTCTCCATTTTTTTCATTGCAAATATAATCAACCTGTCGCGACACTCGCGTTTCACCCGTGACGACTTCCCATCTCCCCGCGTGTATTATTTACGAGAAGCATCCGCACGGATATAAATATTGTGCTTCGCACTCCACGATATGAGATGCAAACGAAAAAGAAAAAACAAACGACGAACGGGGAAGAACGGCCTGGAAAGGAGACGCGTTGCGACGCGAGAAATTCGCAGCCACGTAACTCGTCACACACCTTTCTTGAACGGCGCGCGAAGAAGCCACGAAATAGGCACTTCTGACGATGAGAGCGACGAGAAGGTGTCGAATCACTTTCATACTCGTACATTCACTTCATGCTCCGTGATTACGTCCGCGGAAGCGGAAGATAGGATTATACGAGTTAGTGGAATCTTCGGCTCGAGAAAATTTTGATTTGATTTCCCTCCACGCTATTTACCGCTTTTCTCGCTCTTGTCTCGCTAGTGTATTTCCCGTGTTATATCTCTCCCTGCTTTCGCTCGAAAAGGAAAGAAAGAAAAATCGGAAGCAGATGCATTAACGCGAATTAAATGCTAAGAGGGAAGATAAGCTAAATGATAATGCGAATATAAAGTGACAAACTTGCGAAACCTAATTCGAATACGCAAAAGAGCAGAGCAACTTCTTTTCCACGAAACGCCGTGGCGCTCGATTATAATCACTGAAGAGTGATTCGATATTCCAGTCATTGTAATTCATTACCCTCGATCGGTCGCTCCCTATTGCGTCCACTATCTCCCACCGATTTGAGTGGGTCTTAACCGGCGGTTAAACGCACTTTGTTTTCTTACGTAGCGAGTGCCGGCCCCGTCAGGCCGCCTTTATAGACTAATTACGGGCTCGTTCGACTGTAATATTTCAATAACAATTCCATCCCATTAACCTCCACTTTTTTTGTACACGAACCGGTATCGATTCCCCCTGAGCCGCCGGCGCGGAGCCACAGCTTTCTCGTTCTTCTCGAGAAGCGTGAACGATGCTTATTGAAAATACTTAACGTAATAACACACCTCAGCTACGGTTATTCTCCGCTACGGTTTTATCGCTCTACAAGGTAGTATTGTGCAGCTCCATCGTCCTCTCTACGAGAAAAGGTATTCTATTCTCTACACACCGTCTAGAGATAATTAGCAAGATATTCAACGCAATGTGTATATGTTTCGTGTGTTAATTAGCGGTGGCATTTCGCAACATTGAACGAGAAACCAGAATGCGTTTAATGTAGCGTGCGTGCGTGCACTCCACACGCTCGGTTAAATTAATATTTCTCGCGTCCCAATATTTGATGCGACGATTATTGTTATTATTATTATTATTGTTGTTGCAAAATTTCACCCACGCTAAATATTGTCATTATTATTATTCCCCGCACGTATATTTATAGGAGGCACTTATTTGCATGATAATACATTTTAACTCTCAATCAATGCAGCCAGCCGGCTCACAGCGGCGCCCATACATTGTTTATATTACGATAACTAAAATGCACTGTTGACATTTAGTTGTCTCGCACGCCCGCGGCTCTATATATATATATAGTAATTTGACCAAAACCATCCCGGATGGGGCACTACATCCGTTCAATTAATTTCTTGGTCTTCGACGACTCTTCTCGCGGGAATCGTTTCAGAGAGGAGAAAAGTTCGAGCCGGGAGTTATACACACGTCCAATACGTGTCATTTTCGGTTTCCAGGGAGAAAAGCAAGCGGTGACGTTTATGAAATCGCGCTCGAGAAAGGTGTACAGCCGAAGGGGAGGGGGGAGCAATTTCGGGGGGAAAAAAACGAAATTCGATTAAAGCTCGATTAAACGTACATTACGTCATGATAAGCGGATACATTTCACTTTGTGTCATGCTAATGCGAACGTCACCACCTCAGCTCGAAACGATCGATCGGGCGGGCGGAAGCGGTCGGTAATTCTAATCAGCATAATTTTCACCTTTCTAAAGGACCCTCGCTCTCTCCCTCTTTAATCTCGGTCGTTTCCAAAAAAGTCAGCCGAGTCGTTTCCCCGGGGAAACATGAAACGTCCAACGCAAGCTCAGCACGCGCACACGCGCCGAGAGAGCGTGGAAAAGAGAGAGGTCAGTTCAGCATCGGCACGTACACACACCACGGGGAAAAATGCTCGCATGCAGGCGTACAAACAAAAGAAACGGCGGGCGGACAACAACAACGACATACACGCGTGCATGGTGTATCTCGGCTGGTCACCGGTCGTCACCGGCGCAGCGTCCTCGAGTGTCCTACCAATTTCGTGCTCCACGAGCTGAGAACTGAGAGGGGGAGAGATCATTTACTCACAGACTCTGCGACAAGAACCGTGACAGCGCCAACTTGCTGATACGATTGTTTTTCAGGCCGTCCAACATCGCTGATGCCGCGATTTCCATTTTCGCGCTTAGCTCCGCTAGCGTAAGAAAATTCGGAGGCAAAAGGAGGAGGGGGAACGATGCGTTCTCTCCGCGCGAATTCAATCAACCCCGAAGAGAGAGAGAGAAAAAGATATACTCGCGCGAGGAACGCGATCGCTCTCGCGCCCTCGCTTTATCTCTCAACGGCGACGCACTCCGTGTGCCTCTTGTCTATCCGCTGGTGGCTCGTCGATGTGTCTCGTTTCATGATTCGTCGTCGTCGATGCGCGTTTTTCTCGGCGTGCCTTCGCTGTGTCTCTCTCGCGCGCGCGACGAAGGAAACTTTACGACTTTACGGCGAGGTGCGATATGCGAAAACTCGGCTCGCTTCGATGGATCGATTCGATGTTCTTGTTGACTCAGGTAATTCACCTTTCCTGTCGTCGACCATGCGCTGGGGCGACGCGTCGGTATCGCTCCGACTTCTCGATAGACGACGAGCTTACGCGATCATTTCTTCTTCTTTTCCGGCTACTTCGACGTTAGAGCTCCCTTTCTCTCCTCTTTTCTCTCTCGCTGCTCTTCGATCTCGTGCGAATATATCACTCCTCGCTCCTCGTCGACCCTTCCTCCCGGCGGTCTTCCGTTTTCATTGCTCTTCAATATCGCGTCCAGTTGATAAAGAGAGCGTCTATTTTAAACGAGATAAGGGGGAAGAAGTTCCATCGAAAGAGAAATATCACATCCAAAGCGAGCGAAAGAGAAGCCTGGGACCTCTACGAGTCGGAAGTTCGAGTCGATGGTTTGGAAGTTTCAGTTATTCTATTTAACCCAATTTCCAACCGGCTGGCGCGCTCGTTACGGTCTCATTGAATCGCGGTCGTTAAAATTATCACAATTGCGGCGCTCTTTAATGTCCTAGATTACGCAAGTGTCGCTAATGGCGTGCGTGTAAAAATACGACGGCCGAGTATGTATTACACACACATATATATGTATATCTTCGTATATACCTGCGTGTGTGCCTCGTGTATCGAACTGTCCCTCGCTCCGAGTACGCTCGCACGCGCAAAAGCTCGAAATGGCTGTCCCGAAGATCAACAACAAACAACGCGAAACTATAAACCCAACAACGACAACTGGAATCGCCTTTGATTCGACAACAACGAGAGAATCACATTTTACGCCTTGATGAGTCCGGGAGAGGGTGATGGCGGTGACGGTTGTAGATCGTCGTGGCGAGTCTCGTTTAGGGCCGACCACACTCTGGCCGAGGTTCTTCAGGCACTTTCCTTCCACACACACGTACAAATACACACACACACACGCGCGCGCGCGTACGCACTGATGCAGCGTCAGGAATCGCGGCGGGACTTGAAACGCGCGACGCACCGCGAGAAAGGCACCATGAGGTCTTCCCCCTCAGCTTCGTCGGTCCTCCCTTTTCCCGTCCCGCTACTTTCGCCTTCTCTCGGTCGTGTATCGCCAGACAACGGACTTATCGGTCATCCCGTGAAAACATCGACATAAAAAGAGATAGAGTGAAAGAGAGAGAAAGAGAAAAGGAAAGAAGAGACTCGGCTGTTATCTCGCAGCACACTCGACACAGAGGGAAGAATAAGGGTCCTCCACGATCGATCTACGATCCCTTTGCGAACAACAGCGTCGTGACGGCCGCTAAGGCGAGTGTTTCGGCCCGATAAATCCAGCCCCGAGGATCATTCTCTCTTCTCTCGTGGCGAGGCCGATCTTGATCGTTCGCTCGGCGAGATCGCGAGTTCAAGGGCGTTTTGAAAGGGAGAAGACGGCGTCCAGGCTTTGTCGCGCGTAAGAGGATAATCGTGTATTTAAGAGAATGAAAGGGCAGAGAGAGAGAGAGAGAGAGTCGGTCACAAGAGATAACGGAGAGAGATCGAAGGAGGAAAGCTCTCTCCCCCTCTGTGTGGACAAGCTAGCCGTTCGCCAAACGCGGACTGCCGCTCTGTGGTCGACGGTGTGACCTACTCGCACTGCTCTCAGCTGCTTCCAACCCCCCAAAGTACCCGCCATCCCTACTACTCTTCGCGTAGCCGCCCCTACCTCCGGCTTCGCATTTACCCCCGGAGCAGTCACTATCCCTAGCCCGATCTTCTCCGTCTCTCGGCTGTTCCCCACCCCCGTGCCTCCTCCTCTTCCTCTCGCTACCGCCAGCCCACCATTCCCCCGAACTTCCACCCACTCCTCCTCTCCCCCCTGTGTCTGAATACCCCCACTAGGATCCACGGTAGCCACTTCCATCCGCCGCCGCTTCCCACCCCCGTCGCTTTTCGCCCTCACCTCGTCGCACACTCTCATCGCCGAGTTGGAAACTCCTGGTTTTACCGTAAAACCGGTTTTTTCCAGGTACGCTCGCCACACGATTTCTCTCTCTCTCTCGAATCTTTCGTCCCCGACCCCGATCAGCGCCGCCGCGACTCGTCGGTGCAAGCAGTCTCGCGTGCGCGCGACGAGTGACTTTTCGCGGGACAAATAGTGGATGAACGCGTTACTCCCCTCTTCGTGTTCACCAGCGCGCGCGCGAGCGAGAAAGCGCCCAACTCCCGCGCACGGATGCTCGTGGACGCACTATCTACACTTGGCGGCGCGTATCATTAACGTGAGCGGATCTTATCGATTGTTGTGCCGGTACACCCAAGTGCAAGAGTGTCGAATAAGCAATACCGCCTGTATAAACGTATGGGAATCTCGTGGTATGCATAATGCGCTCTGACGAGCATTAATTCTCGATGGATACGCGACCGATACGACGGCTCGATCGTTCCCATCCTCTGCCCTTCCTTCGTATACGCTATGTGAACTAACTTGAATCTACGCTTTTGGTCGTGTTATGCATCGCCATTAACCCGATAGACTTCGACAAGTCCAACAGCAAGGAGAATATTTGGTTAATGGACTCGAACGAACCTTCCTTCTATTGGGGATGAGCAGAAATCTCACCCTTAACGGAAATGTCGATAGTTTTTGCAGATCGTCGGAAGTGACATTCCTCGGCGAATCGAGTCCTCTGGAGCGAACAAATGAGGCTTTTATTCTGAGCGATTTTAGCCGGGTGTTGATTTTATTTGCAGTTGAATGCTTTATCGAATGTTTTTGGGGGAAATCAGAAAATTGTTCTACGGGGGCTGATCAACTGCCTGACTCTTTCGCTACGCTCGTCGCTACGCTGTCGGTAACTTTCCCGAGAAGTTGAGACTTCCCCTTGTCATCCACCATAAAGACGTCAAGGTGAAACCTTGGAAACTTACGGGATCACCTGACGCTTCCTCGAGAAACACGGGTTAAACGGGCTAAAAGCGAAGCCGCGATGGAAACCTATCGTGACCGGACTGAATTTCCCAAGGAGGAATCTATTACTAACCGATAAAAAAAGTCCAGTCGGTGCCATTAACCCGTCTCAGCTTTAAATACCATACACGACGACCGAGAGATACACATATACAAATAAAGAAATGTCGTTTGACATAACCACAAGGTTAATGTGAGGCTTAATGGTTGCGAATACCGTTAAAATGCTTTCGAGGCAGTCGTTAGAAAAGAAGATGCGCGTCTTTTCGCATAGCACGTGTCCCGAAGGTAACTCACCCGGCATCGTCAGGCTTTTAGTGCGGGGAGCACACGTTTTTCTCCCCTCGAGTAGGAGTGTGAATGTTCCAGCACATGCACCTAAAAGTTTCGCGAATCCTCGCCCGTACTTTCAAGTTCGCGTAAAAGACTCTCTATATGTGTGTGTCTCTGCGACCAGACGCTCCCTCGCCGAATGCGGCTGTTCCTTAGGCCAGCAGTGCCAATTTATCGCAAGTCAAGCATCTAACCGGGAGAAATTGTAAAAGTTCCGCGCGAGTGACTGCGTTTCGAGGCGTGCGCCGATAAAATCGCGACCCGAGGAAACGAAACCGCCGCCGATCGATTAACGGCGACTCGCGAAACGCAATACGTGACGAACATCTCGAGCGTTTCGCGAACCCCCCGTAACTCTCGCCGGTAAACTATTTTTTATTGCGGTTGTCTCGCCGGCTAACATCGGCGAAATGAACGAACAAACGATTGGACGTTACCGCAACGAGCGATATAAACCGGGCAATTTATGTGTGTGACCTGCGTCCGCAGGCATCCTACGCGCACACGCGCGTGTTATTGCAAACTATTCGTACCGAGCCTTATTAACGTTTTTCCTCAAATATCCATACGACACGTGCGCACGCGCGCGATTTACGTAATGCGGCGATTGTAGGTAACGAGGTTTCGTCGATGTGCCAATTAGAATATACCAATTGGAGAGGCAGACCCGAACCTTTCTCTGCGATTTTAGCCGTTCGGCACGATTTCTCCTAATATAATCGCGAAATGTACAGCCACTCCCGCGCCCAGATACAGATATTCACGCGCGTGAACGAATGTATCAACGGCAGTTATAAACGCCGTGATTCTTCCCGCAGGAATTTCGGCTCGTCGACGACGTTGATCTCCCCCGTGGGACAGCCGATCGGCGCCGCAGAGACACCGTTACACGCGGAGAAATGGGGGATCCGGCTCGGTAGAGATCGAGACGAGCGTCCGTAAACTTCCGGCCGCAAGGACGGACGTTGATGGAACGATCATCCGTCGTCTCGTTTTTCCGCAGATTTTCCCGCAATCATCACGGACGACAAACCCCGACCGGAGAAGATCGTCGGCGGATTTTCGGCGAGAGACACTCTCACGGCACGCGTCGCCGAATCCTCCCGTCACATCACTTCGCTGCTCACACACGTTAGACGTACGTAATGCGAAGCATTTCCAGCCGCTTCACTTATAACCAGTTTACCGTATCAGAGGGGTGATCACGCGACCCTGAGATATATTCAGAACGCAATTACGTGTTAAAATGGGACCGGGGTATCTCATCGATTACAGACGTTAAGGATCGAACTAAAGAAACTGAAGAAAAGAAGAGAGAGTGTAAAAAGAAGGCACGCAAGGAGATGCGATTTCGTGGAAACGTCACACCTCTTGGTTTATAAACGATCGTGCCTCTCTAGGGCTCGCGAATTAAAGTTTCAGCGTGGCGTGTAAATAGTCAATAAACTTTAATATGGATTACACGGGGGAGGCCCTCGTGTAATTTCTACGGGGAGGAGCTCCATCCGTGCGAATCGAAGTGTATGCGGAATTCTTACGGTGCGGAGGGAAGGGCCACGTGCGCGACTTCGTCGCTGGTGCGAGGGAAGGAAGTCGCTCGAGAAACGTGGCTAAATGAGAATTCTTAATCTTCCCGTTCCACCGCCCCGCGCATACCGAAATCGTTAATATATGACGGCGATTAGCGACATTAATGCCGACATATCTCTCGTATGCGGACAGCGAGCGGGAAAATAAGCGAGGGGAAGCTAGCGAAATTTGAAACGCTTCGAGCGGTGAACAACGTGACGCTCGATCTTATCACGCGATTTTGCAACAATGTGACACAGAGTGTGACCTTCGTCAAACTCAAATTAAACTTATCTCGATTGAAAATGATAACTAATTATTAAACTGGAAATTTCGACAGAATTTGCGAGAACAATTCAAGAGTGGTTCAGTAACAGAGGATAGAGATCAGCACCAAACCGCTAATTTGTTACTTTGATTTTTACAAGAAGGTAACTCGACACATCGAATTTTAGCATACCGAAAAATCAAATGACGTTAACAACACAGTTCAACGCTTATAATCAGAAACTTCTCTTCTACTAATTTCCGAAGTTCTGTAATCTGTCGTCCAACAATAATCGAAAAGCTAACGATTGCCATCCTGCGTTAACAAAATGGAGCAAGAAATACTTGACTAGCAGCAATTCTAAATCCTGTGAATGTTGTCATTAGGATGATCTTCAGCCAATGATTTTACTCGAACGAACCGGACCTCACGTTCGCGCAAGGTACGTCCGTTTCCGCGTAATTTTTCATGAGTTCGCGGTTCATTACATCGAGCAGCGAACGGGGTTATCCCTTCCAATCTGTTATCTGACTCACAACTACGCACAACTCTTCATATAATTCATAAACGAGCTATCTCGCGACTCACTGCCCTTCAACTGACGCTTTCGACAAGATATCGCGCGACACACGGTGTCGTTTATTTGACGCCCGTGCCGAGATATATCTCGGCAATTTGATGTCGTCCATCCATGACGCGCCGTTGTCAATACAATACAGTTTGGCTTTAACATTTTCCGATAATAGAGACGTGAAGTACGAGAAATCGTGTTCGCGCGCGTGTACGTATCACGAACGAAAATAACTATGTAATAAAGGGGGCGCGATTTCGGATAAAATGTTTGTCCTGTTCCGTGGATGAGAGAGAGAATGTATGTGTCCGTCCGTCCGAAGGGTTCGTCCTAAAAGGTCTCCTCGAGAATCTTCTGGTCTCGAGTGAAGGGCGATCCGTCACTTACGTTGATGCAATCGGATCTAAGTCGCTTAACGTCGCCTATATAAATCGACAATACGCGACGAAGTAGTACTCGGCCACTCGATGTAATTTCATACCACTTTTTTATCTCCTTTTCTCACCATCTTCTCCCTTTCCCTCCGAGTGTCCTGCCGCCCGCGCGCGTGGACAAGTTACGGAGAGTGTGTGCATAAGTAACAACCTTTATTCCGTCATAACATCTCGCTTTGCGGTCGATCGTCTTTAAGCGGACGAGCGTCGTTTACGACGCCTGAATAATTTCTCGTCGAGACGACGTGTGGCGTTATGTTATACCGTTGCTGTTACCGCGTGCTCGCGTCGTGGTACATACGGTTGAATCTCAGATTAAAGCGCAATATAACGCCCGCGCATATATATCGTCACCGTGTTTTTAAATGCGTCCTCTCCGCTCCGGGGGGAGGAGAGCTTATTCTGACACCGCTCGACGAGAATACGTCGCAGCTTCAATGTGAGCATTAGAGCCGCAATCTCCGATTTTTCTCGCGTCTTTTCA